TCTCCCTTCTCTGATAGGTTTCAAGCTGACACAGGTTCCGACTTTTGCGGGTGTGTGTGTGGAACATGCTCTTGTTAAGTGCTGTCGAGTAGCTTCCGACTCATAGTAAACCAGTGTAGGGTTTCCTAGGAGCAGCTGTAACCTTGCAGGTAGCAGTCCAGTGTTTATCCCACAGTGCCACACTGGGAGCATGGTGTCTTTGTAGGATAAGCATTAGATGGATAACCACCAGGTGGGCAGTTCAAGCTTACCAGCCACTGTACAGGAGGAAGAAAAGGGTTTTTGCTTCCAAACATACGTTGTTCTTGTTAAGTGCTATCAAATGTGTTCCGACTCATAGCCACCCTGTGGAGAGTTTTCTCGATGCGGCTGGTGGGTTTGAACTGAAGACTCTGTGGTGACCAGTCAAAAGCTAAAGTTCATTGAGTGCTTACCGTTTCTCCGATGCTCTGTAAAGCTCCTTGGATGAGCTAATCATCCCAATTTCACAGATGAGCTGGTTAGATACCAGACTACTGAAAATTAAGAGTCTCCTTTCTCCACTCCACCCTCGATCACTGATCCTATGGGCAGGCTCAACTCTTTCAGCCTCCCTTCCGAGTGTCCTGCTCCCTTGCCGCTCCCACCATCTGGGCATGAAAGCTACACTCTGGCCTTCCCAGCCTCCCTCCATTACCATGCGCTACAGCCCTAGCCAGATGCGAATTCCTGGGGAAGTCTCGGCTTCCCTATACGTGTTGCTATTCTGTATTGTGCGTTCAAGTTGTGATAGCTGGCCAGCGCTTAACCAAACGCACCACCAAAGCTCCTTTCCTTATACATAGACCCGTCTCACTTCTCCCACCTCTGGCCATCTGGATGCCTGGAATGCAGGTGTGAGGTCTGGAGCTGAAGCATTCATCTTAGGACCATGCTACATGGTAGGATCCATCCATCCACGAACACCTAGACGAGTGCCTGTAGCAGGCTGGGAGGAAACACAAGTGTCTTGTTCTGGAAAATTCGAGGCTCCCTCTTTATTGTGTTCTGGTGGCTTAGCAATGAGCTGGCACAGCAGAAGTGAGTCAGATCCATGGAGAGAAAGGATACATGTAGAAGCTGGTTCCTGCTGCACCCCCTTTCTAAGAAGGCCGCCCCCTTTCTATCAGGGCTGTTTCTCTGAGTCACAGAGCTAGTGAAATAGCCCAGCCCTTTCCGGGAGCAGAACCCTTCTACAGGAAACACTTCCAGGCCTGATCCCTGTGCTACTCGGCAGTCTACGGGAGTCCTCCACTGAGGCTCAGACCAGCTCTGGCTCAGACGGTGCCCACAGACACACACAACCTGCTGCCTCCAGACTTCTTGCTACGTGACACACAGAAGGCACTACTTTGCTGAGACTCTGGTGTGGCACATTTTCGGGGAGTCCCAGCTGACAGAATTCTGTAAGAAGTGTAAGAGAAAATAGCACGGAATTAGACAGCAGAGTGGTGACTTAGCTCTCCAGTGGGGCTGGCCTGGCTCTACCTCGGATGCTTTTGAACTAGGAGATCAAAGTTGATGGGAGATGGTGGACACTTGAACAAAGTCCTTGTAACACAATGACTTCACTTGGGGGTTCTGTGACAGAGAAACCAGGAGCAAGGATGACATGACAGCTGACAGCTGTGAGACCAGCACTCGTGTCTAAAGACCCACTGACTTTTCATATAGCCTATAGGCCCAATGGCAAGCATCTATTTTATTTGGCATAAATGTCCACAGTAGGTTGGCTGGAAGGTGGAGATCTCAAAGGCCAGCTCTAGAACTCCCTGGGCCTACTCACAAAGAGGTAAAAAATTCTCACAGTGTGACTAAAATATGTCAAGATCTCTATGTTCACTGGTGTGAAAGAAACTGTTGTTGTTGTTGTTAGGTGCCATTGAGTCGATACTGACTCATAGCAACCTATGCACCACAGAACAAAACACTGCCCGATCCTGGGCCAACCTTACTACTGTTACCACGCTTGAGCCCATCGATGCTGCCACTTGGCCAATCCATCTTGCAAGGGGTCTTCCTCTTTTTCTCTGACCCTCCACCTTACCAAACATGATATCCTTCTCCAGCAACTGGTCCCTCCTGACAATATGTCTGAATTATGAGAGACGAAGTTTGGCCATCCTGGCCTCTAAGGAGCACTCTGGCTGCACTTCTTCCAACACAGATCTGTTGATTCTTTTGGCAGTCCAGGGCACTTTCAATATTCTCCTCCAACACCATAACTCAAATGCATCAATTCTTCTACGGCCTTCCTTATTCACTGTCGAGCTTTCGCATGCATATGAAGTTATTGAAAATACCATGGCTTGGGTCAGGCGCACCTTAGTCCTCAAGCTGACATCTTTACTCTTCAACACTTTAAAAAGGTCTTGTGCAGCAGATTTGCCTAAAGCAATACGTCCTTTGATTTCTTGACCGCTGCTTCCATGAGTGTTGACAGAAACCGACCAAGCCTTTATTACCTGTGCCTAGAGAGATGTTAGAAAACCACCAAACAGTCCCTATCCTTGATGAGGGTGGGGTACATTAACAGTGGAGGAGAGCTGGGAGCATGTCACAAAGAGGACTTACCATTCTGGCTTGCTGGGAAGTGGGGTACAGAGAAGAACAAAGGGGAGAAGGAGAATGCATTCCAGCAAAGAAAATCCCATGTCTAACACCATAGGAGCACGGAAGGGAAGTCTTTAGGGGAAAATGACAGACGTTGCCTTTGCCTCGGACAGGTGGCTGATGACGCTGTGAAGGTAGGATATGGGGCAAATCCCAAGGTGGGGAGCTGGATGTACCCTACAGGTAACACGGGTGCTAAAGTAGTACTGACAGGTGTCCTGGGGGGGTGCTGTCGGATCAGCACTGGATTGAAAACCACAAAGCAGGCAGTTCAAACCCACTAGCTGCCCCATGGAAACCCTATGCAGGGTTGCTATGAGTTGGAACTGACTCCACGGCACTCAACAACAGCAATGCTGTCACATGGACACAGAGCCAGTGACAAAAGCCGTGAGTGACAAAGACACCCGGTGTCTCTCCTCTCCCATGGCTAGTCTTCCGTGTAGTCTCATTCCGCTGAGGGAATGAGAAACATTCCTGTAGGGAGTTTTTAGGGTGGACCACACCCTGTGTGTAACGTTCCTATAGGGATTTTCTAGGTTGCACCCTCAAGTCTTTATCAAAAAGCAAAAACCCCAAACCAAACCTGTTGCTGCCAAGTGAATTCCAACTCATGACGACACTTCTGTGCAGAACAGAACTGCTCCATGGTGGCGCTGTGGGTTAAGCATTCCGCTACTAACCGCAAGGTTGGTGGTTCAAACCCACCAGTTGCTCCATGGGAAAGAGATGAGACTGTCTGCTCCCAGGAAGATTTACAACCCTGGAAGCCCCTATGTAGCATCGCTATGAGTCAGAACCCACCGGACACCAGTGGGTTTGTTTGATTGTATATTGGCGGGTTGTTGTTGTTGTTGTTTAAATAGTTTTCTTTTGTTGTGTTTTTTTTCTTTCTTAAAAAGAGTTTTGAAGACTGTGACCTTCTTTAGAAGCAGATCCTCAGACCTTTCTTCCAAGGTGCCTCTAGGTGGGTTCGAACCACCATCCTTCTGGTTAGCAACGACACACCTTACTGTTTGCGTCACTCAGGACTCCAGCAAATCCTCACAAAAGTCCACTGAAATTGAGATGATACTATTCTAAGTCCCCAAGTAAAAAGATGATCAATCCCTCAGAATGGTTAAATATCTGGACAAATGATAGAACGATACATAGCACAGTCCAGATCTGAGTACCGTTGAGCTTTTGCAACACGCCAAGCACTGGCCTCAGAGACATTGTGTGAATGATAAAGACAAAACGCACACACCCGGGGAGCATCCAGGGAGCCCTGGTGCCGCAGAGAATTAAGCATCATGCTGCTATTCAGAAGGCTGGTGGTTCCACCCCACCAGCTGCTCCAAGAGATAACTAGGAGGTTATCTGCTTCCAGGGGCATTTGTTCTTGATTGCTGTCGACTTAATTCTGCCTCATAGCAATGCCGTACACCTGTACAGGGTTTCTGAGAAGCAGTTGGTAGGTTTGAACTGCCAACTTTGTGGTTTGAAGTCCAGTGCTGATCCTACAGCGCCACACAGCCTTGGAAAAGCTAGGGGACAGTTCTACTCTTCTCAGATAGGGTCACTGTGAGTTGGAATCGATTTGATGGCAGGAGGGTTTCTGTTTGGTGGCGCATCCAGGCACCATGCAAGGAAATGGTGGGGGTAGTAAGGTTCAAGGAAGCAGAGGGTAGCGTCTCGGAACACACGTAGAAGGGAGGGGAGAAGAAAGCAAATCAATGAGAGAATCAGAACTCATTTCAGGTCAACACAAAGTCAACAAGCTGCAGGCCTAGAAAAAGACAACTGGTAAATGAAAACAATCCCAGTCTGATGAGTTAGAAGAACTTCCAGAATCTCAATTCCAAGTGGCTGAAAAACCCAAAGGAGACATAGAAATATTACGTCCATGGTCACTGAGCCAAGGCGCTAAGTTGGGGGGAGGCTTCAAACAGAATAATGAGATTGGCTGTGTACTAGAAACTTTCATGCAGTGTTCCTAATTTAGTAAGTACTAAAAACCCCTCCAAATATACTAGTTTATGTTAAGTCATACACTTATTAACGCATCTTAGGTAGAAAAAGAAAATGCCTATGCTTTATAAGGTATCGTGAAAACCATCATCAGTGGGTTGAAGTTCTTTCTCAACCCAGAGAAACCCATTAAGGGCCAAAGCAATTTTAATCATTTAAAATAGTCTACGTGGGTCAAGTGTGAGGGAACATGCGCAAACATCCTTAAGTATAACGAGATGACGCTCCAACATTGTTCTAGCCTCGATGATGCTGTTCTCCTCCAGCGTGGCTGTGAAAATGCAGACAAGCATGGGAAGAGTGGGAGGTGGTGGAAACCAAGGGGAGGAATGAAAGACTCCCACACGTGAACTCACATTGCTCCATTGGTGTAGACTGTGTCGCTTCCTTCCACATACTGCACCTGAGCTGGGTAGACGTGTTGGACCTGCTGCACAGTCTGGACCTGCTGGACCTGCAAAACAAATATGGCGGCCTTGGTGAGTGGTAGAGCCAGAGGACGAATGCCCATTGGCTGGTTTAGCTGACAGGTGATGTCAGTGGACTAACACACACAGGATACTGGCTTCGAGTGAGACCGTCTGCTTTGTGGTCCTTTCAGCATAAATGCATGCTGGGCCCAAGTCAACTGGAGCATCTACAATGGACCATATACATTCCACAACCTTGTAAATATATGTTGTTGTTGATAACTGCTGTCGAGTTGGTTCCGACTCATAGCGACCTTGTACAGGCTTTCCAAAGAGTAGCTGGTGGCCTTGAAATGCCAACCTTGTGGTTCACAGTCCAGTGTCAATCCTACAATGTCACACCAGAAGTCCTATGGTAGCATAGTGGTTATGAGTTGGGCTGTTAGCCTCAAGGTCAGTGGTTCGAAACTACCAGTCATCCCGTGGGAGAAAGATGAGGCTTTCTGCTTCCGTAACGATTTACAGGCTTGGAAACCCTGTACAGGGTCGCTATGAGTCAGAACTGACTCCACGGCATATAACACACACACATATATATATGTGTGTGTCTACGTACAATCTCCACACAACTTAATTGTGGGGGGGTTAAAAGTCCAGAACTCTTCACTTGTTTTGAAGATGCATCAAATTATATTTACCTGGGTGCTTAAAGGTAAATTTAGTTACTGTTTACCACAATTTTTTGCTTTTAATTCCTGTTTGCCAAATACAAAATTCTTTAACAGAAGGTTTCAAAAATACTCAAACATCAAAAACAATAAAAATCCCATTTACTCATCATCCATATTTGTTTATCATCTGTTGGAAGAAGGGATGGGTGATCTAGTTCAGAAAGACAGCTACTGAAACCATGTGGGACGCAGTTCTGCTCTGACACACACAGGGGCGCCATGGGTCGGAATGAAACCATGTGGGACGCAGTTCTGCTCTGACACACATGGGGGCGCCATGGGTTGGAATGCAGTGGATGGCAACTGGAAGAGAAACCTCATCCTCCAAGCTGAGCAATTGCTGTCAGACGTCCTCCTTCACTCTCTGCTGGCAGGACTATTTAAAAGTATTTCCACAGCAAATATTGCCATTTGTATTTCTAAGAAAATAATTATAATCTGGTGTGGCACCACGGATACACACTAGACTGGCAACCACAAGGTCAGCAGTTCAAGCCCCTCAGTCATTCTCGGAAACCCTATACAGGGTGGGTGTGAGTTGAAAACTACTCATTGGGACACAGCAACAAATTCCTATTTGGGAGGCCTGTGGGTGGTGGTACAGATGGTTAAGCACTCAACTACTAGCTGAGAAGTTGGGTGGTTCGAATCCACCTACAGGCACTTCAAAAGGCTGGTCTAGAGATCTGCTTCCAACACGTCCCTGAAAACCCAACCAGCACAGTTGTTCTCTGTACACAAGGGACCACCATGCCTCAGAACGACTTGACAGCAAATACCACCAACATCTAGAACATTTAGAATCTTGTCGCCATGCCTGTCACTGGTATGCTCGCTCTTCCTTTCTCTCTGACCCTTCTACTGCTTTTAAATATAAGAAAATATGTAAGTCTGTGTTTATCAGTATGCGTATCTGAGGCAGCTAGTGGGTTTGAACCACCAGCCTTATGGGTAGCAGGCCAGTGCTGATCCTACAGCACCACACCAGGATTCCAATAAATTAAACTAATTAGGTGAAGTAGAGAAAGTCTTCAAAAGACATGCATTATCAAAACTAGCACTAAATATATAGAAACATACATATATACCAGTACGGAGTCCTGGTGTGGTGCGGTAGGATAAACACGGGACTGCAAACCAAAAGGTCAGCGGTTCAAACCCACAAGCTGCTCCTTGGAAACCCTATGTTCTTGTTGTTAAATGCCGTCGAATCAGTTCTGACTCATAGTGACCCTGAATAGAGTTTCTGAGGAGCAGCTGGTGGGTTTGAACTGCACACCTTGTAGTTTGAAGTCCAGTGCTGATCCTACAGCGCCACACCAGAACTATGAGTTGGAACCGACAGGACAACAACATACATGTATATTTAAACTATTGTCATTGTTGTTAAGTGCCACTGAGTCAGTTCCACCTCATAGTTAGTGGCACAATATAGGGTTTCCGAGGAGTGGCTGGTGAATTTGAACTGCTAACCTTGCAATTCACACTGACTTTGCAGTCCAGCGCATTAAACCATAGCACCACACAGGGACTATATGTGTGTGTGTATGTACATATATATGTGTGTGTGTGTGTGGTGAGTGTTGTTATTGCTGTTCAATGCCGTCGAATTGATTCTGATTCATAACGACCCTGTAAAGGGTTTCGAGGCTGTAAATCTTTAAAGGAGCAGAAAGCCTCATCATTCTCCTTTGGAGCAGCTGGTGAGTTTGAAGTGAAGACCTTGTGGTTAGCAGCCCAGTGCTAGCCTACAGTGCACGCCAGTCTAGTGTGTATCCTTGGTGCCACACCAAATTATAATTATTTTCTTAGAAATACAAATGGCAATATTTGCTGTGGAATTGATGAGCAGGACTCTTGTATGTACGTATGTGTGTATATGTAACACCGAACTTATAATCACGACCCTTCAGCAAAGCAACACTCAGGCCCAGATGGCATCACTGATGATTTCTGTCAAATGTTACAAGAAAAAAATAACAATGTCACAAAAATATTTTACAAAATATAGAATAAGGGTGTTGTTGTTGTTGTTAAGTGTCGTCGAGTCGGTTCCGACCCATAGCGACCCTGTAACAGGGTTTCCGAGGGTATAAATCTTTACGGGAGTAGAAAGCCTCATCTTTCTCCCACGGAGCAGCTGGTAGTTTCGAACCGCTGACCTTAAGGTTCGCAGCCCGATTCGTAACCACTACGCTACCAGAGCTCCTTGAATAAGGGTGTGTTGTTGTTGTTGTTGTTAAGTGCCGTCGAGTCGGTTCCGACCCATAGCGACCCTGTACAGGGTTTCCGAGGGTATAAATCTTTACGGGAGTAGAAAGCCTCATCTTTCTCCCACGGAGCAGCTGGTAGCTTCGAACCGCTGACCTTAAGGTTCGCAGCCCGATTCGTAACCACTACGCTACCAGAGCTCCTTTGAATAAGGGTGTAGCACACAATTATTCCTAGAGACTAGCATTACCCAGTGGTACCTTGCTGGCATTGTGGGTTACGCATTGGACTGCTAACTGCAAGGTCAGAAGTTCAAGGCCACCAGATGTGCCTCGGGAAAAGGGTGAAGCTTTCTGCTTCCATAAAGATGTACAGCCTCGGAGATCCTATACAGGGTGGCTATGAGTCGGAACCGACTTGACAGCACCGAACCACCACTACCACATTATTACTCTGATACCAAAAGCAGAACCAACATAAGTTCCTAAACATACAGAAGTAAATCAAATCCCATAACACCTTTAAAGGACAGAACACCAAGTCAGGCAGAATTTGGCTCAGGAATGCTCAGTTTTAATCTTAGAAGACCCACCAATGGAATCCGCCATATTTCTATATAATAAAGAAGAAAAAACCATATGATGATCTCAATAAATGTTGAAAACACAATTGACAAAATTAAACATCCATCCATGATAAAAATTCAATATCCACTCAAGATTTTAAAAATGCTCAATAAGCTAAGGATAGAAGGAAATTTTCTCTTCCTGAACAGGGGTATCTCTAGATGGTGAAAAAAGAGTCTAATTTAATGGCAGAAAAATGTTCGTTAGCATTTTAAAAAATATTTACGTGGTTTTTTTTTCATATTGTAGCTCCCTTTTAACCTCCTGAATTCCTTCCCACCATGTGCAAGAAGGAAAGTGAACTTCCTCTTTGCTCTTTCCGAAAGTATTTACCTGGGATTCAAATTTGCTCAAATATTATTAGATACTGCTCTTTTGTTTAACATTAATTTCTGGTTCAATATTGACTAAGTCACTACCTATTTTGATTTTAGTTGTTATTACTTTCGGGGCAGGAAACATTAGCATCTCTAAGAGAGATGGGATAATGGCATTTCGCTTCCATGACCAGTAGCAAGATTTCCCTCCCACTTTGGTGAACCTGCAGAGAGAAGGCTGCTCCCTGCACATTTCCAGTGACCGGATTGCTGTGAGTTGGAATTGGCTCATTGGCAGTGGGTTTTTGTTGTTTTTAATAAAACCTCCCAACTAACTGCCCACTCTGTGAAAGCTCTTGGGGGCAAGGAAAGAGATGATTGAATCAATTATAGAGAATATTAATTTCTTCTCCAAATTTCAATGTCTTTCTCCGAGAAAGAAGTGTTTCCAAAAAGGATGAACACATTTTTCCCCCACCACTTTTGAATCTTTTGAATCTTAATAAAGAGGGAAGTGGCCAAAACATGAGTGGAAAAGAGATGGGCCAAGTGGAATTGGCAGGAATAATCAACAATCTCTATAATTAACCACCCAATGAATAAAAATGACCTGAATATATCAAGTTAGACATGACCTTAGGCTAATTTTTGAAAGGTCACATTACCTGGTACATTATAATGCTGTCAGTAATGAAAACTAATCAGAAAGACTCTGTACCAGAAAATTATCCATTCTCTGTCAACTGAAGGGGGAACAGTAGGAAACCTTCTCCCACCAATTTAAAAATATTTGCTTATTTTCTGTATATGTTCGTAACTTTTATTTATTTATAAAATAGATGAATACCAACATAAAGTACATAACACAGGAAAATGTGCTAACTCAACAGAATGAATGAATATATTTTGAAGACAGATTCATACAATATGCTATTTTGGATGTGCTTCAAGAAAAATAAAAGGAATCACATTTCAAAAGAGAATTCCTTGTCTAATCGCAAATGAAATCATTTATAATTTGTTAAGCTTATTAGTCAGACAAGAATAATACTAATAATCTCTTTGTATAAATATCTTTGTCATGCCGAGATCTACACTGCCTTTCTCATACGAGACTATTCATTACACACGTGGTTGGCACCCAACCTTTCAAACCTTA